GCTTCGAACCAGTCTGCCGTATTTTTGGTCTTCTTGCCAAATGTGGACAAGGCGGTGTTATAAACAGCGTCCTTGAAATGTTCCCATCGTTCAAGTGCATTTGCATCAGCCAGGCCTGGAAGGGTTTCCTCAAGCGCTTGGACAAATTCCTCCACTTTTTTTTGATTGCAAGTCTTTCTGACGTCAATACGCGGTCTCCCTTCCTTTTTCATCAGATACAATCTCTTTGTTCGTAGTTTTACTCTACTACACACCAGGGAGTGATCAGTATCGCAATCAGCACTCTGATAACTGCACGTGATTGTACTACTAGGAAGGCTAGAGCATCTAGTGAGAATCTGATTAAGCTGATGTCAATGCTTTGATATTGGATGTCTCCATGTCGATGACAGCTGTCTTGTGCACATCATCCATTTCCTGCAGGTTGTCAGAAAAGCCAGGGGGCGTTGTCCGAACATTCCAGGTGCCCAACTTTAGGGCAAAAGTTTTCTTATGACTGTTGCATGATGCAGGATTATCGATCTGCTTATCGCCTTTCACCCTAAACCCCATGCATCCTGAGAGGTTAACAGACCGTGGAGAGGCAGCACCTTATTGGCTGGGCGCTGCCCAGCTTAAGATGAGCAGTAACTACCTAGCGAGGTGCAATGCCCTCTCCCACCATCAGAAGTAGCCCCTGGTGTCATGTTCTACACCAGTTAAGCAAGGACTTATAACTGGTAACTGCTACTTCCCATGTTATTTCAATGCTGTATGCAAAGCTGGAGTGTCCTCTCCAGAGCACGAAGCCTGGATAAAGTAATATGGAGGATAAGCTGTTACCCAAGCAGCAAATCCCCCCTCTCCATATCACTGAAATAGTCCAATGGAAAGGCAAGAGCCAATACAACTGGTTCCAGCGATGTCGCAGGAGTTGACAGAATGGCACAAACTACCTCTGGGACTCAGGCTCCGGATTTTGCCTTGAGGTTAACTCCTGAAGTGTTTTCCATCAGTGGATATAGCCACAAGGCAGTAGAGGTTTGAAATCGGAGTTTTCATTCTCCTAGATGGCTGCCTTCCAAGGCTGACGAGCCCCACCTACCCGGGCTGCTCCCTAATAGTGCGAGGATTAGAAACACAGGCCTCCAGCTGCTGGACCTTGTCTTCCAAGAGGGCCACCAACTTACACCTAGAACATCTGTACCCAGGCACCTCATTTGGCAAGAAAACAAACATCCACAGGTGTTACAAGTGCAACAGATCCTGCACTCTCCATCTCGACTGTTAACTACTGCTGGGACAATGATTTATCCTACCATAGAAGAGGCTTAAGAAATCAGATCCTACTAAATAATGGAGGAATTGTCACTTTCTTTTATAAAATATTTGAACTAGGCTAAGATAACATTGAGAATACATGATCTAGAAAAAAATAGGTAGGGCCAAGTTGAGAGAAAGTGACAGGCCTGAGATAACTGGTGAAATTTATGCGTCAGTAGGGCTTATAACCTTGATCTCCCAATTCCTAGTTCAACTTTGTCACTTACCCCACGCAGGCCCTCTCAGATCTTGAAAATAATGTCTTGTTATGCAGTTATACAAAAGGCATAACTTTTAGGGACAAATTGACAGCTTAAGAAATCTCCATAGCCATTATGTGTTACATGACTTGGCCCACAGTTTCTCTTCCCTATGGTATTTTTGCAATCACACTAAAAAAAAATCCAGTTTTTGCAACAAAGAGACCTGGAAATAGTTTTCTTTTATGTTTTAGTTTTAAAAATAGGAGTTAAGGGAAGAAAATAATGGCTCTTTTAAAGCTATTTCAGGAGCTTGAC